AGAAAGAAAGAAAGAAAGAAAGAAAGAAAGAAAGAAAGAAAGAAAGATGGTGCATTAAAGCCATTTTAAAGCACCGCCTTTACTCTTAAGAATAAAACTCCCGTCGGAGCTGCAGCTCAAAGGAATCCAGCGATTCCTGCTCAGTTCCTGACAAACGATCGCTTTCGCTTTCGTTTTCTAGTTCTTTCCCAAAAGGAGGCGGACTTTGCCACCTTCCAGAGCTTTTCCGCCCGGAACTGCCGGATTTCGGGTGGCTAGAAGCACGAAGTGTCTGCGGGTAAGTCGTCCCACCCCCGTCCCCCCCCGGAATGGCAAAACATTGCGCTCTGTTGCTGTGTAGGTCTGAATGGCTGAGCTAGACTGCTAGAAGATCTGCATCGCTCCTTGGAATCCAAAACAACGTAGTCGTATTGAAATAAAATAACATTTTAAGGACATCTGAAATTTGGGGTTTGCTTAACACGAAGTTTTAATATTATCGCTAAACGAGGTGTTAAAGAAGGGTAGATCTTTTTCTTTAAAGATGTATGATTATTACTGTTCTTAATGATTTTATGCTATTTTCATCATTGCTGTTGATATTTACAGTTACTGACCTGCAATGTTTAAAATAGTATAAATATTCAGTTGTATAACTCTAATGATAAAAAAAAAAATCTTACCTAACCAATTTAATCCTGATTAATTGTGATGCTTGTGATTTCCTTGTTTACTCATCTTGTATTATTTTCTTTTGCCTTTTATTTCTTGTTTGTCTTATTGATTTTTCTTAACTTAATACCTTCGGGGACCCAAACATTTATAGTATTTGTTTCAACTTCAGTCTCCGATATTTCTCTTATCATTCCCATACAAACTCCATTGTTGCCTCATTTCACGTTCACCTCTAACCATTTCAGTACTTTTCTGTTGGAAGTTAGGATTCCCCCCTCTTCTAGGAAAACAGCCCCCCACCCTTTGTCATGTAGGGCTATTAAAATAGCTGGAGCCAGCTTACTTTCCACAACAAAGGAAGGAGAAAATTTACAGGCATGGGATATAGAGAAGAAAACCCTACAAACTAGCTAAGATCCTTTCCCATAGAAATCAAATAGATGGCAAGTTATAAAAACTTGTGAAAAGCAAACCAAAAGGCATGGCAGGATAGCATGATAGCAAACAAGCAACTACAAAGGATCAGGACCATAAAACCAAAATCCCAGGAAAAGATCCCAATCTCAAAGAGACAGGAACTCAACACACACACAAATCAAAGACTTCACATCCAAATCAAAGGACCTGAAAAGGTATAAAAAAGGGGTTTTCTTACCCACTTATCAGATAAATCCTAGGAACGCTGTGAGATTTCTTTTTACCTGCCTTCCTATAAATAAACTGACTTCCAAGCAGCTCACCAAATCATTTTGCATTAAAATCTCCCAGCCAGGAAATTTGAACCTACAAAAGGAAAGAACTTTGCCTATTCCTTAAAGGGCAAGGCTTCTTTTTTCCTTTCCTCATTTCATTACACTCACTGCTGGAAACTCCTTGTTTTTCCATTATCTCTGTGCAATGACGATACTGAGATTACTCTTAGAAGGGAACCCTGAAACACACGGGTTACTTTCTATGTGTGAACTCAACTGTTCTACTTGTTCTGTGCTTTTAAAATTGCTTGCCAGGCTGGCTGAGTAGCTCCCATGTGTAGTCATAATCATATCTGGGCCTGAAAAATCCAGATGACTGGCAGTTGGCACAAAGAGACATAGAAAATACTTTTATTTTTTCATTGCCGCTTGGTGTTTGTCCAGATTTTTGTGGCCATAATACAGTACAGTAGCCACCTGTTGAGGTCCAACATTGACCCTTTGTTTTAAAGATTACATGGAGCAAGGAGGAAGTTGGGCCACGCCCCCTCTGCCAATGAGCCTCAAGGGGTTGCCTCCCTTACTTGATTCTATGGCATGGGGGGGGGGGGGAATACAAGGGAAATGAATGGGAAGTCTTAAAACTGAATGAATGAATTATTTATTGGCCAAGTGTGATTAGACACACAAGGGATTTGTCTTGGTGCAAATGCTGTCAGTGTACATAAAGAGAAAAGATACGTTTGTCAAGAATCATCAGGTACAGCAATTAATATAGTCATAGGATACAAATAGGCAATCAAATCATACTAGGAAACAGTCAATATAAATTGTAAGGATGCAAGCAGGGAATGATTTATTTAGCAGAGTGATGGGGTTCGGGAAAAAACTGTCCTTGTGTCTAGTTGTTCTGTTGTGCAGTGCTCCATAGTGTCGTTTTGAGGGAAGGAGTTGAAACAGTTTATGTCCGGGATGGGAGGGGTCTGTAAATATTTTCACAGCTCTCTTTTTGACTCATGCAGTATACAGGCCCTCGATGGAAGGCAGGTTGGTAGCCATTGCTTTTTCTGCAGTCTTAATTACTCTCTGGAATCTGTGTCTGTCTTGTTGGGTTGCAGAACCAAACCAGACAGTTATAGAGGTGCAGATGACAGACTCAATAATTCCTCTGTAGTACTGTATCAGCAGGTCATTGGGCAAACTGGTTGAGAAACTCACCCATGGTGGGCTGCAACACCCATCACAACCACCACTATTTATCCATGTAAGAGATAGTCATCTGCCAGTCCAATTAGCATTCATGCATTTTTCTTGGCAACTGTACAGAAGTGGCTTGCTACTGCTTTTCCCCCGAATGTCTTTTCAACTTCCCAGATCAACCTACAAGCTTTAGAATTCTCTGGTGATTTCCCCTCCAAGTATTAATTAGGTTATTCCTAATTCTGTTGAACTTATGAACCTAGACAAGGTCAGCAAGATGCTGCCCTGCTGGGATTTGCTTTCTGTTTAAATTTAATTTATTTTAGTAAGCCAGTGTTTTTTTTTAAAGTGCAGTCATAGAAGCCCTGGGGATCCCCAAGACCTCCTCAGGGGTCCTCAAAATCAAAATTATTTGCCAAATTCTGAAAACATTTGCAGAAGAGTTAAACCTCTTCTCATTTTCAAAAAAAATTGTTTTAAAAAATAGGTTTGGTGCAGTGGTTAGAGTGCAGTACTACAAGCTACTTCTGCTGCAGCCAGCTGCCTGCAATTTGGCAGATCGAATATCACCAGGTTGAAGGTTGACTCAGCCTTCCATCCTTCTGAGGTGGGTAAAACGAGGACCCAAATTGTTGTGGGCAATATGCTGACCCTGTAAACCGCTTAAGAGAGGAGTGTAAGGCACTGTAAAGCAGTATATAAGTCTAATGCTATTGCTATTGCTATTTATCTAGTTATTTCTACATCATTCAATGAGTAAATATTGTATAAATGCATCAGTTTTTATTTTTAATGCCATAAATGATGAATGCAACCAAAAGCTATTTTGGGATCTTCCACAATTTCTTTTAAAGTAGGAAGGGGTCTTGATAGAAGAAAATTTCAAGAAATACTGTACTAAGTTATGCCATTCCAATCACAACTGACTTTGAATAACTTGCATCAAAATAGTCATAGGATTAAAACCAGACGCAGCTATACAATCATAAAAAAATAACACAAATGTGATCAATCACACCCTGCATATTAAGGAAGAGCCAAAACACCATCCTCATCAGGAAAAGACTAGGCCCTCTGAAGCATCACGTTCTTAATGTCTTTGTGAAAAGTTAACAGATTGGGGGCTTCTCTGATATCGCAGAGAATGAAGTTCTAGAGGAGAGGACAATTGTCCCTGGCAGTTTAGTAAGCACAGCCATGATTGATGCCTGGACAATAAGTTCAGGAATCAACACTTTCCAATAGCCTGATTCAATGCCTTGGTCCTCCCTTTTTTTGCCCCCGACCATACAGAAATAGCAGGATCAGAATGAGCGCCACAGAGGACCTTCTGAAGATCGACGAGGAATTGTATTCCCGCCAACTGTGAGTCTAACGTGGGACACAAAAGTGGGAGGGATGCTAAGAAACCCCAAAGGTTCTTCTCAATATCGCTCGAGAGCTGGTGTAAGAGGGATCAGCTGCTGTCTGAGAGTAGTTGGATAATGAGTGAGCATCTGGTGGAATTTATTTTGGAGAAGAATCTGGCGATCAAGACAACTGTTAACACTGTGAAGTAGTCTTGACAAGAAATACAAGCAGGAAAACCAGCTCTATCTTTATTGTCAGGTTACATTAACAGAATTTTGCAAGATTGAAAGTGTTTCTCCCTCCCTGTCCCTAACTAGAAAAGGTCCTTCCTGAAACGTTTATCACAGCATCCTGTGGGAAACCTTTTGGGCTGAGATATCTTTTACGTGCCGCTTGTCCAGCTTGTGGCTCTCCTTCTGTCTCCTGAGGTCATTCCATGCATAAAATGCATAATGACAGAGGGAAGAAAAATAGGGAACATTAATTGGCAAAGAAAACCGAAGGTAAAAGTGCAGTTGAACAAGAACAAGAGTGCAGTTCGCTGTTCAGGCTTGGCATTCGCATCACTGTGGTGTTTTTGTTCCAGCTATGTGCTTGGGCACGAGGCCATGCAGAAGATGGCTACAGCAACGGTGCTGGTTTCTGGAATGACGGGGCTGGGGGTCGAGATTGCCAAGAATGTGATTCTTGCAGGAGTGAAATCTGTCACACTCCATGACCAGGATGATGCTCAATGGAGGGACCTGTCCTCACAGGTATGCAGTTTACTGATCTTGCCTAACAAATGTGAGAGAGCTATGGTAAGGCATAGGTCTTTGATTCTGCTCACACATTCCGCACAGATTTTATTCAGCTGTAGTTACTTTCCCACAAGCCTATATAGGTATAGATAGATCATGGATGGTGAACCTTTTGGGCCCCAAGTGCCCAAAGCGTGTGCACGTGCTCCCCCAAAATGCAAGTTGCCTCCCCACGTGCATGTGCTGCACCCCTGCGCATGTGCCCCAGCACATGCACACCCCCGTACATTTGCCCCGCCCCCTGCGTGTGCCCCCGCTTGCACCCCCGCCCCTCTCGCATGCACAGCAGAAACCTGAAGGCCAGCTGGCCAGCAGGAGGCGCACGCGCATGCACAGTGGAGCTGAATTGGGGCAATGGCGCACATACCCACAGAGAGGGCTCCGCGTGCCACCTGTGGCACACATGCCATAGGTTCACCACCACAGATATGAAGTTCCATAGACATCATGTGTGCATATGAATCTTGTCCTGCCCCTGGTGGAGACTGACTCTGAGGGGAGAGGAGGAACAGCCGACAGGGAGTGGAAGTGTGGCTCCGGAGGTTGTGGAGGAGGCTGGGGAAGGGCAGAGGCCGGCTGAGCAGTCAGAGAAGGACCCAGGCCCACCTCCTCTCCATTCTAGGGCACGCAGGGAGGAGAGGATAAGGGAAAGACGTTGTCTACTCGGGAGGAGAGGGTCTTGATCCTCTTCATGGGATGCAGGTATGAGAACTGCATAAGAGTTTGGATCCTGTGCGCTAGCAAACGATGGAAACAAAGAGTGTTTTAGTCCTGGATGAGGTTTATCTTGGTTGGGGTTCTTCCAACGGACTGTACCTGGTTATCTTCGTGAAGTTTGTAATGAATTATCCTGGTCTGTCGAGGAACTTTCTTCAGTGTGGTTTGTTTTTGGTTTTTTTATTGCTTCGTTATCTGCTCTCTGAGTTTGGACTGTATTTCTTTTGGAATGTTATTTTGGAAAAAGTTTTATCTCCAGCTGTGAACAATTGAACAGTAAGCCAAGTTGAAGGCATAAAGAAAATTTATTTACGTTTTGGTTTTTGTTAGGTTTGTATTACACTCTGGGTCATCACACATCTATATGTTATCAATTTCTGAAATCATTCACTGTCTCTTTTGCAGAGAGTATTTCTTTCTGTGCAGGAGGAGGTGGGGAATATTAATTAATTACATTTATATGCTGCCCACTTCACTATCCAAAGCAACTTTGGAATTCATCTTCTTTCTTAGCACAAAGGAAGTGGCACATTTCTTGTGCAGGAGAATTGGAGGCACCTCGTTTTCCAAATCCTCCTGTCTAAAGAAAAGTGGTCCACCTTCTTCAGCCCAGAAGGGACATTTGTCTTCACTCAGATCTCTGGGGGTAGATCAGAACCCCTGCAGATGGCTCAAATAATCCTAACCCTCTGCCAAACCCGCCCCCTCGTATTGCCATGTCATTTTTCCCTTCATTTATAGTACCTAACTTAAAAATGGTGCCAGCAAGTCAGTGTGATTCCCCCGCCCCATTCACCCTGGTTGATTGCTGATCTCAAGAGATCTGCTGCAGAAGGAGTAGACGGGGAAGTTGCTTCCACTTCTCTTCTAAGTTGGAAGGAGTGTATGGCAGATAGAGGTACAAAATTGAAGGCATGCCCACCACTTAAAGACAGTTTTCTAAGTGTGTGATAGGACCCAATTTCCCAACATGCCATCTGGATTCTCAATTAGTCTTGATTTTTGCTCATTTCATAACAGATAATTGTTGGTAATTTAATTCTATACATGGCTGAATGAATAATATAACCATGGGATTCTAAAAGATTGCCTAATTTGGGAAGTTTGATGAATCAGTTGTTATTCACTCCCATTAAAAGTTGTCAAAATGAGAAATGCTACACTGTTAGACTCTAACTTTCATAAAAGAATAATTCAGAATCAGTGTTAAAATAGTCTAAGATCCCGCTATATAGCATTCTCTTTAGCATCTTACGCTCCTGCTGTATTACATCTACTGTGCTTCTTACACAGTGTATAGTGCAGTATTTCTCAACCTTATCCACTTTAAAATGGATAGACTTCAACTCCCAGAATTTCTCTGGCTGAGGAATTCTGGGAGATGTAGTCCATGTATCTTAAATTTACTAAGGTTGGGAAACACTGATAAATTCACATATCGTATGCAAACGCTGCTGGGAATGGAGATGTAAAGGTCAACTCCAAAATATGCTATTAGACAATGTGGTGCATCTGACAGTAAAACAAGGCAAGAAAAGAGTAAAAATGCTGTTTTACTGGTGGCAAAGAATTATGTAAAAGACTTTTCTTTATGCTTAGCATTGCTGTGTCTCTATAGTTCTACCTGTCAGAGAATAACGTGGGGCAAAACCGAGCTAAGGTTTCCCAGGAACATCTCTCCACGTTAAATGGCAATGTTGAGGTGATTCCCCACACCAGTGAATTGACAGAGAACTTCTTGGCTACTTTCAAGGTAAGACAGAGTTATGTTTCTCATGCCATGGAAGTGAGAAATATGGGAGAAGAAGCAATTTTAGTGATGCTAGAAGGAGGTGATGAAAGCTAACCATTACACAGGATCTGTCATGTCCCTGGTGGAGACTGACTCTGAGGAAGAGGAGGAACAGCCAACAGGGTGTGGGAGTGTGGCTCCAGAGGTGGTGGAGGAGGCTGGGGAAGGGCAGAGGCCGGCTGAGCAATCAGAGGAGGATCCAGGACCATCCCCTATCCATCCTAGGGCACACAGGGAGGAGAGGATCAGGGAAAAGCATGGTCTACTCGGGAGGAGAGGGCCATGATCCTCCTCATGGGTTGCAGCTGTGAGCTCTGTATAAGAGTTTGGAACTGCGTGTTCACAGACGCTGAAATCAAATTAGTGCTTTCCTTGGATGAGGTTTATCTTTGTTGATGTTCTTCCCATGGACTCTCCCCAGTTATCTTCCTGGAATGTGTGATTAATTATCTTGGTTTGCCCTGGAACTCTCGTCAATATGGTTTGTTTTTGGTTTCCTTTTGCTTCATTATCTACTTTTTGAATTTAAACTGTGACTAATAAAACAGCGAAGCTAAGTTGAAGGCATTGCAAGTCCTTGATTCATGTTTTAGTTTTTGTGTTATTTTTGAGACACTATGGGTCATCACAGGATCTATCTGAATGGAGGGAAGAATTTCTTTTTCTTCATCCTACAGTAGTAGCAAGCTTGTCAATCCATCTCAAATATTTCTGTCAGCTGTAACTTTATGGTACATTTCTCAAAAGAATTATAACATTTTGACTAGGAGCCGCACCTGACAATGAGTTGGAAATCTTCGGATAGATGTGTGGTGTATTCTTATCAGGCATTAAACGGAGAACATAAGTTTGGAGAATGTCCTCCCGACCATTCTCTGTGTTTGGATATTCCTTAATGTGGCTTATGCTCTGAACCTCCACATCCAATGTATTCCAGGTTGTGGTCCTGACCAACTCATCCTTGACGGAACAGCTGGATATCAGTGATTTCTGCCATGCCAACCAAATTTGCTTTGTCCTAGCTAACACAAAGGGCCTGGCTGGGTATGTATGGATGAATGGGTTGTCCTTTTTCTAGGAGGGGATCAAGGAGATGGAAAATTTACATAAATAATGCTGGAACATTGCAGATTTATTATTTTAGATAAATTTATTTTTGAATAGGAAGACCCTGTAGTTGAAAGTTACTGCCGGTCTGTATATTTGCTAGGTATTTCTAAGAGTGGCGACTAAGTTGAATGCATCATTTGAGGCATGGCTTATTTTTGCTTTCTCTTGACTCCAGACAGGTTTTCTGTGATTTTGGAGAAAACTTTGTGGTGTATGATCCTTCAGAAGCTGACCCTGCATCTGCTGCCATTAAACACATCACCTTGGTAACTTCCATCTCTGTGAAACAATGGCTGTTTTACTCAACATACAATCACATACTATGCAAACCAAGTTAATGTCTTTTCACTGCCACTCTATTTTCTGTATTACTTTTCTACTTATAATTCTCTTCCTGCGCCATCTCCTTTAAAACCTCATGTTTATTTTTATGAAGGGATTATCAGGAGATGGTGTCTGATTTTGGTCAAGGGGAATCATCTAAACCAGTGGTCGCCAACCAGTGAGCCGGGGATCACTGGTGGTCCATAAGAAAATTTTGGTGGTCCCCAGAGAAATGTCACCCCCCCAAAGCAATTAATCCAGGCTGCGCAGGAATACAAAGCTGTGCCGATCACATGGCCCGCGGGAACGGTGCTTGTATTGCGAACAACACAGGGTAGTGAGGGGACGGGGAAAAGGTTGGAGGGGGGGAACTTGTCCCCCTCGCCCCATGCACCTGGCCTGGCCACTGGGCTGCTTCTTTCCTCTTCTTTCTTTTTCTGCTTTTGGCTGCACGCAAGGAAAGCAGCAAAAGTCTTTTTTTCTCTCCCCCAAACTCCGCAAGCAGTGAGTCTTTGGGACCATGCAAGGCATCCTGCTCCAAGAGGCTGCACTGGCAAAGACTCATTTCTGACGGAGTTTGGGGGAGAGAAAGAAAGACTTCTGCTGCTTCTGTTGCTTTCCTTGCATGAAGCCAAAAGTCTCTCTCTCTCTCTTTCTCTCTCTCCCCCTGAGAATGGAGCTGGAGACGGTATCCTGTGATTGGTAGGAAAACGGGGTGGGGAATTTTCCTGCAGACTTTTTGGGGGATTTTCCCAGGGTCTCTGGTCTGCGGGATTTAAAATTATGAGTTCGGTGGTTGGTGACCCGTGATCTAAATGATGAATAACGTCATGAACGAGCGGCTTGTATTTATGTGAAATCCCAGCACATTCCCACTGGATGAGGAATTTCCATTTCAAAGCAACTATTCTCTCACAAGCTGAAAAGCGGAGGTGGGGCGGAGGTAAGCCAAGCTGATTTTTTTTTTTTTGTATAGCTGGACTATTACTAATTAACACTTCTAAATTTTATTAATATTGCAAGGTCAACCTGGAGTGCATTTTATATTGGAATCCAAATGATTGGAGAGGAAATAGGTTGATCATGCTGAAAGGGAAGATTCATAATTAATCTTGGATTTCTCTCTCTTATTCAGGGTAATCCTGGTCTCTTGACTGTGGCCCATGATGATGAGCAGGGACATTTCTTTATGGATGGTGACTGGGTGACGTTCTCTGAGATTGAGGGGATGACACAACTGAATGGTTCTAAGCCACGCCAGATTTGTGTGAAAGGTAACAGGGACTCTTCTTCTTTCCCTCCATGACTTCATGTGTCTTTCTTACTTGAATGTGGAACATGTTTATAGAGAACTGGAGCATTAATAGTGGAAATTCATCAAGAAGTTGAGCTGATGGAGGATATACAGGTAGTACTCGACTTACCACAGTTCATTTAGTGAACATTGAAAGTTACAACGGCACTTAAAAAGTGACTTATGGCTGTTTTTCACACTTACGACCATTGCAGCATTCCCATGATCAAAATTCAGATGCTTGGCAACTGGTTCATATTTATGACGGTTGCAGTGTCCCAGGGTCATGTGATCAGCTTTTGCAACTTCTGACAAGCAAAGTCAATGGGGAAGCCGGATTCACTTAATCTTGTTGCTAATTTAACAGTTGCCGCACGGGTGGGATTCAAAAATTCCAGCAACCAGTTTGCTGCCTGGGCGTAGTCATGGTGGGCGTGGCCTACCGGAACTTCCTGTTTCCGGCTTCTGGTGGGCCTTCAGAGCCCGGGAGAAGCCGTTTTTACCCTCCCAAGGCTTCTCCCGGGCCTCTGGGAGGGCAAAAATGGCCTCCCCAGGCTCTGGAGGCCAACCAGAAGCCAGAAACAGGCCCATTTCTGAACTTCCGGTACTTCCAGGAGGGCCTCTTTTTTTGACCTCCAAGGGTCCGGAGGCCTCCCCTGGGCCTCTGGGAGGGCGAAAACAGCCTTCCCTGGACTCTGGAGGCCACCGGAAGCCAGAAATAGACCCATTTTGGACTTCTGGAAGGCCTGTTTTTCCCCCTTCCCAGAGCCTCTGTATGGACCCTGCACTTACCTCCATTGAAAATGGGCCATGTGGAGACTCCTGGGAGGGGTGGGACAGGGCAGGCAGGTCCAGCCGGTCGGCTGAAATACTGGTTTGGTGAACCAGATGTAACTTTAACATCCAGTTCACCCGAACCAGTCCAAACCAGTAGAATCCCACCTCTGAGCTGCCACAATTCACTTAACAATTGTGGCAAGAAAAGTTGTAAAATGGGGCAAACTCAGTTAACAAATGTTTCACTTATCAACATAAATTTCTGGGTTCAATTGTGGTCGTAACTTGAGGACTACCTGTATAAGAGAAGAATGACAGAATAGTATAGTGGTGGTATTGATAGGAAAATTAAGGAAAGTTGTGAGACTTCAATGTGGAGGTTTAAAATATTTGTCAGGAAACCAAAGCACTTCCAAACTCAGAAAAATCTGAATTTGCAAAGGCTACATTTTTAGCAATTGAATTCACAAATTTTTAATCTGACTCTGAAAATTTAACTGCTTAGGGTTAGGAACATGGTTAAACATGCACTTGAGGGCAGACCCTGAATCTTTTTGCTCTATTTTTAGGAAAAAACACCTTGGAAATTGGAGACACCTCTTCATTTTCCCCATACCAACATGGTGGGATCATCACTCAGGTCAAGATGCCTCAGAAACACTCCTATGTGGGTTCTCATTTCTGAACTATACATATGTGGGAATTTTGAAAAACGGAGTTCTTCTTTTCAGGCTACTTTACAGAAAGGACTGATTCTTGAACAAGCATGTTGCTCTAGCCAAGAACTGTGAGATATACAGTGTTACTTCATAGGGAAGAGATTTAAGCTTCCCTCAACTTTTTATCTTCCTGAGATTTTTAGACTATTGACCCTTTCATAATGAATTGACACTGTACAGCCTCCAGTTGAAATGAAGCTGGGAGGTAGAGTGTCTGCTTGAGAAAAGTTAGTGTAAGCTGAACTTGCTTGCTTGTGATATAAAATTCTATGTAGGAAACTGTGCTGGCCAGCAACTCAGAGATATAATACATGCTGGATGCAGAAAATCTCAGCTTTACTCCAGGTTGAGTCAAGCTGGGAAAGATGTCTGTCTTAGCTCAACTTAAAAGTCACTCTAGATCAGGGGTCCCCAAACTTGGCGACTTTAAGACTTTTGGACTTCAACTCCCAGAATTTGCTGGCTGGTGAATTCTGGGAATTGAAGTCCACAAGTCTTAAAGTTGCCAAGTTTGGGGACCTCTGTTCTAGATCAATGGCACATTTATCAATAGTGACATGTAACAGAATGATTCCCATCTTCTGATCTTAAAACACACACACACACACACACACACACACACACACACACATACACATACAAGAGAGAAAATGGTAGAGCATCCCTTTCCCAGTGGAGAGTATTGAGGCAAAACAAGCTAAGCATCTCATTCTTTCCTGGAGTTCAGGATTGGCTCACTGTCTGAAAGGTTGGGGGTAGTTAGTGCACACACACACTCTCTCTCTCTCTCTCATTGTATATATTGTGTGGTTTGTACTTAGGATAAAATGGTAAATGCATTTCAATGGTAAATGCAGGCTGAGCCCCATGTCTTGATCATTATTGTACAACTATATCAATAGAAATGAACATCAACACAATTTTTCCATTTCTTTATCTACTTCAAAAATACCAAAGCTCAGCCAGTCCCCAACTTTTCCGGTCCTGTGGATCAGCACTGGGGGGGTGGGGTGGGGTGGCAGGGCAGGGGAAAGAAGTGATGTTTTCATGTGTGTGTCTTCCACTTGTGCAAATGGAGTTTCACGCGCATGCTTGCCCACTGCTTGCACAGTCTGGTTCCCGACAGACCATGGCCCGATACCAGGCTGCAGACCGGATTTGGGGATCCCTGCCATCCCTGATAAGTGTTAATAGTAATTGGCTAGTATATAATTTCTTGTAAAAGAGGGCTTTTTGTCTCTGTCTTTAGTTCTTCATTACGGTGGTGTTGGATTTAAAATTTAAAAATCTGAGAATTGCTGGGGCAGATGTTCCTGAGCTAGCTAGGCTTCACATATTCTTTTTTGCAAGAGACCACTTTCTTGAGATATGGTATCTGAGAGAACGGGTGTATTAATAGATACAGCTTTCCCTCTTTGCTTATTTCTTGATATTCCTAGAAGTCTCTGCGAGCCTGCATGGCTAATCCGAAGATCAACACCCAAGATAGTAAGAAAATGTTTCGTTATCATACCCTTCATGCAGCCTTCCAGGCACTTCACACATTCCAGAATAAATGTGGTCGACTCCCTAGCCCTCAGAATCAGGTAAGTCTGGCCTACCTACCTATCCAGCTATTTACTTTTTTCCCTTTCCTTTCCCCAGCCAAATCTTTTCTTCAACCCCAGTAATTATTCCTTGGCAGGAGGATGCAGACATGTTAGTAGAGCTGGTGAGGATCCCAGCTATGGATCAGGAACAAGAGAATCTGATACGGATGTTTGCGTATGGATGTATGGGAGACCTGAGCCCTATGAATAGCTTTATTGGAGGCCTTGCTGCCCAAGAAGTCCTAAAGGTGAGTGGCAGAGCTTTAACAACAGGCTGATTTGATCGCTTTTTAAAAAAAAATATTAAAGAGACAAACAGTAATTAAGCATCAACTAAAATATGGTTTTAAAAAGAAAATGAAAACAATCAGGAAAGGGAAATAACGAAAATGAAAGCAAAATGGCAAAAGGAAAAAGGGGGTTGGACTAGATGACCTACAAGCAGGGGTGGGATTCAATTTTTTTAACAACTGGTTCTGTGGGCATGGCTTAGTTGGTGGGCATGGCTTGGTGGTCATGTTATTGGCTGGGCATGGCCAACTCAATGTCACTCACATCGAGGCATGAATCTCCTCACCTGGCCTTTCATGACTGTGGGGATGCTGCAACAGTCGTAAGTGTAAAAAATGGTCATAAGTCGCTTTTTTCAGTGCCATTGTAACTTTAAATGGTCACTCCACACAAGCAAAGTACCAGCAAAGGAGGGGGAAAAAACTCCAGAGAGGTTCCAGAGACAGGAAGTCTAGTCCTGCCAAGAATGTAATAAGGGTTAACGGAGAGGCAGTTTCTGTAAGCAACACCAGAATGTTTCCTTCCTGCCTGCCTTACAGGATTAGGCCAGTAATTTCTTCTTCTTCTTTTTTTTTTAAACAAGTTTTATTTTCAAGACAAACAATACATAAATACACATAAACACAAAACATAAAAGCATAAAAAATCTCTTTTCTGAAAGTTGCTTAGTCCCGGGTTAAAACTCTTGGTACAGACACAAGTTCAGTTTCATATTCATTTTACATACCATTTCATATCTTATTAACATTTTCAATTTTCTATATAACTTCTCCTCTCCTTTAAATTTTCTCAATTTTTTTTTCCTCCTCTCAATTCATATCCTAATATTTATTATTCTTTGTCTGTTCTATTCCAGCCAATCATTTATTTTTCTTCTTTAAAAAAAAGAAGAAATACTTCTCCTGTACACTATATGGAGTATGATGCCTTTATCTTTTTCCCTTATATTTATAGTACCTAGTATAAAATACATAACATACATTGGGATTCTGTCTGGTATATTCTAAAATTATACTATATTATCAAAAATAATACAAATCTATTCATTAGTATTGATATTCATTCATATACTTTCAATTAAATCACATACTTTTATGAGAGCCCTATTTTCCATAATTATCCCCCCCCCACATCACATATTATAGCTCAATATTTCATTGAAATGTTCCTCCTTCTTCTACTTCAAATCTCATTTCACAAAAATTTTTGCTAGTATACCATGTTCTAATCATTAATTTTAACAATCATTTATATCTTAAACATTTTATCCATTTCAATTGAATATCATGCCTTTGTGGGAACACTTATGCTTTCCACGATTATTACCCCCCACATCACAATCTTGAATCATATTTCATTACAGTACTCTCTTTTTCTTAACAAAAATTTCACTTATTTATGTTAGATATTTTATCACATTTTAAGCTACATATTATTTCTAATTTTCTATAATTACTTCTAAATACAGATATAAAAATGCAATCTTATGTACCTTTCTAGAATCCCATTAACAATAAGATCTATCCATTATCTCTGAAAAACTTTTGCTTCTTAATATCTTGCTCCCCACCATTAGAGCTTCTCATCCCTTCCTTTCTCCCTTGCTTCTTCTTCTCCTTGTCCTCTTTAACACCTTGTCTCTCCACCTCCCTTTTATTCTGCTTTCCCCCTTTCTGTTGTTTCTTAACATAATGTCCCTTTTTCACCTTATTCTTCTCTTTTTGGGCTGTTTTTTCAGATCTTAAAGACCTCTTTTCCTTTTTCTCTTGCTTTTTCCCGTCTCCAATCAAAGTCCTTTTTTCATCAAAGATGGCTTCTTCTTCTTCTTTGTCCCCATCATCCTCATTCTGCTTCGCATAAATATAAACCGCCATTTCTAAGTATTGAAAAATAGTGCCAAGTCCATCTTCCCCTCCTTGTTTTTCTCTTTCATATTTTTGATATATAAGTTCCAATCCATCCACAGGTGATGCCATTGTGTAGAGAAAAAGTTTTTCCAAACAACCACCCAGATGATTTAATCAGAAATAATTTCCAAAGGTTCCAAAATCACCAAACAATCCAAACAGACTGTTTCTTTTAAATACCTTCTTCTTCTTCACTTTTTCTTTCTGAGGTTAAAGTAATCACAAATCCTTTTCAAATATATTTTTTGGAAGTTTTTAAACTCTTTGCAATTCTAGGCAATCTTCTCCTTATTTTCAAATTTTGCTCTGATTTTTTTTTCACTCTCCCTTCCCACTCACAGCCAAAAATATTTTTTTTTCCCCACTGTCACTTTAGGAAGGTGAGTAGAACAAAGAAAAAAAAAACTTTCCCCTTTAGGGTATTCGCAGCTTGTGACTCTCACAAGGAACAATATATCCTTAACAGCTTTCAAGGTTCCAAATCACTTTCTCCCGTCTTGTCCCGGTTAAAAGCACCTTTCACTTTCTCCAGCTTTCTCCCTCCTGCACTTGCTTACCCGGCTGCAACTTTCTTCGTGGCGGCCATTACTGACCGCCGTTCCTCCGCCTCGGGAAAAGGGAGTTTAGCCGGCTGGGGAGGGGGTTTGCGGCACCCCCAAACCCCTTGCCGGATCCCCCCTGTCTTCAGCTGCCTCTATGGGGCAGCTATATCCCCCAGATCCAAATGGATCGGGAGAACCTTGGCGGCGAACGCAGCAGGGATCGCGCGGTCGCAAATCCCTGCCGCCGCCGAAGGCTAGCAAACCGGAAGTCCCAGGCCAGTAATTTCTTCTAACAACCGGTTCTCTGAACTGCTTAGAATGTTAACAACAGGTTCTAGCAAGTCGGTGCGAACTGGTAGAATCCCACCCCTGCCTACAAGGTCCCTTCCAACTTCATTAATCTGTAATCTGTACAATAGAAAGTGAGCATTTTGGAATATATGTACACTAATATGGAGAAGTACCAAGAATTTAAACGTCCTTACTCATTGTAGCTAATCCTCCATTTAACCAATTAATGGGGGAAGGGGGAAGAGGAAGAATGTCAATTCAAGATGAAAACCTATTGAACCAAGGATTTATTCTCCTTCTAAGGACAAGTAGAACAAGACTTATGAGTAGGGTAAATCTGGTCTGTGTTACCCCCTTTTCCTCTCTTCAATAACTCTTAGCCTAGCATTGCATCAGTGCTCTCCTTTCCTTCTCTTCTCTGCTCTCTTAGCTGCTGCTAGTAATATCACAGTATGGCATATAGCTGGTCCTTGGTTAATGACAGTAATTGGGAACAGAATCTCTGTTGCTAGGCAACGTGGCCATAAAGTGTGATGTCACATGACTTTAGCGCTTAGCAATCCCTTAGCACCTGCCTGAGGCACCCCATGCTTCTTACCTTACTGCACTGACTTTCCATTCTCTGCTTTGCTTTCTGCTCCTTTCTGGGGGCCGGCTGAAACAGCTGCCTGCTGAAGGAGTTCAGCTCCCCTCCATATATGGAAGGGAACTCTTTCTAGAGTCTGGACCATTATTAAGTGAATGGTCATAACACAGAAGCTATCTGTAGTACCAAAAAATTCTATCTACTATGGGAATTGTAGTCCACATACCATCTACAACCATTTCCCATAGATATTTCTGATGGATTTCAATTTTATGTGTGTGGTATTAATAATATTACGTTAAACTGAATTTTTATCACATAATAATAGGAAACATTGTTGTGCCCACATCTTTTAATCATTAAGGACATTTTATTGAGCGTTAAGGAAATTCTGCTATTTGAATAAAAAGCCAGTGGTCCAGTGATTTAAAAAAACAAAAAACACCTGGATTTGGTAATCCCAGGTTCAGGTCCTCACTCAATGATAAATTCACTCTATCTCTTAGCATAATAAATATCATAAACCGATTTCAAGGTTAAAACGAGAGAGGGAATATTAGATATCCTGGCTTGAGCTCCTGGAGATTATACCCAATGTAGGTTATACCCACAATAATTAATAATCATGCTAGAGATATCTGATATAAAGTAGCAGCTTTAAAAAGCTATAAATTGGGAAGTAGTTTTTACTGCTTTGGGGAATAATTCAATGTGTGCCCTAGGCAAGACAGTCTTTTTCAACCTCAATATTCCTCATGTGCAAAAAAAAAGTAGAGAAACATACTATTGACTTAACTTACATGATTCTTGAAAGGATTAATTAATACAACACACAAAGTGCTTTGAATGTGTGAGGAAAGAATATAATATTAGGAATAACTATGAAGTCTTACAGGAAGTCAAAAGAAATAGTTTTGAAGCTGCATGAGAAGTTTTCCGTCCATTGTAATGGTTCTGCTAATCATTTTGTAGCTGCACCTAAAAAAGTTGTCTTGGGCTTCCCATTGAGAATTGCAGGTACTCTACTTGCTTCGGACCCAGTACTGAAATTCAGCTTTCTGACTGCCATTAAGTAGCTTTGTACTGGGTTTGCCAGTAAAGGATGTCCACTATTTTTTTTTTAAATAGAGGCATGATTAAGCAAGTTCAGCTCCTTTCAGTATGGACATATCTTTTAATGTTCAAGATGTTTCTTTCATAATATTTAGCCATAATTTTGGAGCCAGGTAACATGATATTTCTTTCCTGATCAGCTTGTGGTGTGTTTTTCCTCCTTCTTCATCTGGAGTGGTGGACTCACAGATCCTCTATTGCAGCAGTCTCCGATCTTTCCGGCTCTGCGGATCAGCAGTGACAACAGTGGTGTGTTAACCATTAAGCAGACTAAGCACGTGCTTAGGGTACCAGGCCCAAAGGGGGCACCACAAAGTTGAGAATATGGCTTCGTTTGTACAGTATGTACAAAGGACGGGGGGGCACCAAGATTTGTCAGTGCTTAGGGCACCAGTGAGCTTTAATCCGCCACTGAGCGGCAGGGCAGGCAGATGGTGGCAGTGAAGGAAGGGGATGGTTTCATGTATGCAAATGGAGCTTCACATGCCTGCCCACCATTTTTTGTGGCCTGGTTTTCA